CTTGTGTAATGGGGTGAAGGTCGCCTTAGTACATGTATAGTAGTTTCAGTTGCCTTAGCACTTATGTATAGGAGGTACGGTCGCCGACAGTAAGGCTTAGGATTACAGCCAGTGGTCAGTAAGACTTCGGTCCGTGAGAAGCAATAAGACTTAAGGCCGAGAGTCCATAAACAGCAAGATTTAGGGCCTTGATTGAGTAGATAATAATTACCGGTATGGTTGAAGTTTATTAATGTTTCTGCTTTCATCCTTTCTCTGGGTTTTCATGCTTCGTGATTCTATAAATAACAACTCAGTATTAAATATCCAATGAGTTTACATTGAGTTAAATTGTTTTGACTTTCAGTTCATCTGAACTACTCAAGTTAATAAAATCACGTATGTTAATGGAAAAACTTTCAAAGGCTTTTAAAACATGAAAATCTTCATGCTCAAAAAATGTAAATGAAATTATAATGTATAATCTCTTCCCCCCGTGGTGAACAAAGCACCGAGTGACCCTAGTCGTGTCTGGTCAGTGCACTGATAGCCCAGGGCGAGTAAATTCGCCGTATGTCATGACATCAAAAGAGTTACCTACCCTTCTGACTATAATTAAGCATGTATTTACTTTATATAGGCAGGACGTTTTTGAGACGAGCGGATAAAATACCGCTTGGGCTTTGAAACATTCAAGAAACGAACTCGCTGACAAATTCTTAAAAAACATTCCTACGGTGGGGTGGAAGGATGCACACTTAATGTATGTATCCGAGAGGAGGGATGATTATTGTTAACTGGCTGGACGAGCTGCAGGAGGTGCACTGGCAGGTGCTCTTGCACATGCAGGTGTAGGAGGGTGAGAGTGGACGTCAGTGACAGCCGTTTCCTTACACTGTCATGTGTGTTTGTAAAAATATAAAATATATATATGTTGAGAACATCAATACAGCCCATGGGTTTCAAATGTACAGATTGTTCAGATAATAAATATTTGTCAGTTTTAATCCGACATTGGCAACGGCACTCAGACATATCATACCCGGATGTAATGAGTGCAGATTCACGATTTGTACTCTGGACTGTCAAAACAAAACTACGAGTCTACGAACTGCAGCGGTATTTTCAGTTATTTGATCTTAAAAGCGGCGTGAGACCAGTGGGTGCATGTATTCTGTCTGCGTAAGTAGTGGGTGAATGAGTTTGGTTTTACGCCGTTTTTAATCCAATAATCCAGTAATATCACGGCGAGGAACCCCAGAAATGGGCTTCACACAATGTATCCATGTGAGGAATTGAACCCGGGTTTTCGGCGTGACGAGCGAACACTTTAACCACATGGCTACCCCACCGCCCCGTCTGCGTAAGTAAAAATACATTAATACTAACTTTTGACAAATCCGCTGTGCAAGAATACATTTATTATTCAATCAAAATATTAATATCGTTTAATCCTCTGATCCTCTGTTCTTTTGGAACACAACAAATGGTTCTTCTTTTGATGCGCTTGAAGAAATAGATCAGCCCCCATTTAAAGCATACATCAGGTTCTCGTGTCAAGCTGTGGTGCAATTACGAGTCTATGTTTAGCCAGGGAAATCAGATGTGACACAACCAGGCTGAAATTGGGTCAGTTAGCGAGATTGTGTAGTAGATATGGGACTGTTAGATATGTGAATAAAACTGAGTTTAGTCCTACGCCGCACTCAGCGATACTCAAATATATGGCGCCGGTCCGAAAATAATCGAGTCTGGACCAGATAAGCCAGTGATCAACAGCATGAAGATCGATCTACGCAATTTGGATGCAATGACATGTATCAACCAAGTCAGCGAGTCTGACCACCCGATCCCGTTAGTCGCCTCGTTCGACAAGCATGGGTTACCCGGATCTTCACGGTTGACAGATAGATGTGAATATCAAATGAAATGTATATGTACATCATATCCATGTTCAACATGCCCACCGAAAGATGAAAAGAATATTTGCATAGCATATATGTATTTCCATCGTACACAACCAGCTTCTCTTTAGAGTCTGTCAAAAAAGGGAGGATGAGTTTGTTACCAGCTTACGTCATATTATAAGTCGTTAGTTTCGTAAGCCGCATATTCGTTTCACGAACTTTAAGAGACAAGGTCAAGCGAAATAGAGTGGCAACCTCTGGATTGTATTACCACTGCGATATTGACTTGGCCGAGTTATTTATTATAGCTTCCGACAACGAGTATATGAAATACCTATATACACAAAGAACTTAATTAATTAAGCATACCTGTATTTTGGCAATGATTGGTTTTCAACACCTACATAAAACTTCTCGTGGTGACCATGGAAAAACATGAGTTTATCTAACCCGTATGATCCTTTGACTCACAAGAAACGACAAAATGATTGGAATCCATGTTGATTTTATGATGATAATCGCTCATATTAAAACAAATACACTGATTTTCATACAAAACCATGTCTGTACAAGTGTTTAATGTTGAATTTATTGGTGAATGTGAACTTTCAAGGTCAATACCGAGTGTAACCTCCATGTGACTGTATGACAACCAGCACTCTCCTCCTCATACCGCCAGTCAGTCTCCTGATCCTCTGAAGCGCCAGTCTACGCCATTCCTGTAAAGCAGCTTCCAATTGGGCCAGGTTCTGTTCAGGGGATCACTTTGTCCATTATGTCCCCGACATGCCCCAAAGGGTTAAGATCGGGGCTCATTTAATCGTGAGATACTGTATGTCAGGGGGTGCTTAACTAAGTTCTGTGTGTATATTTATTGCGGTCCACTCTATGAATTAAGACGCTTTCTATGGGTTCGCCTTTGAAATATAAAGCACCTGAGTTCGTTATTGAAGCTCTGTAGAAAATATTGACCCACCATTAAATCCGACAAAAGTCGCAATTTCACACCAAGAGTGAGTGAGATACGTTGTTACATGTAGTATGCCACACAGAATGAAACCAAGGCAGTTTATGCTCTTCTAATAGTCTTTCATTAACATTCTGGAGTTAAACCAAGGCAGTTTATGCTCTTCTAATAGTCTTTCATTAACACTCTGGAGTTAAACCAAGGCAGTTTATGCTCTTCTAATAGTCTTTCATTAACACTCTGGAGTTAAACCAAGGCAGTTTATGCTCTTCTAATAGTCTTTCATTAACACTCATACCTTCTTACTCTTCTACCTGGAGTTAAACCAAGGCAGTTTATGCTCTTCTAATAGTCTTTCATTAACACTCTGGAGTTAAACCAAGGCAGTTTATGCTCTTCTAATAGTCTGTCATTAACACTTGGAGTTGGGCAGTTTATGCTCTTCTATTAACCAAAGTTTATGCTCTTCTAATAGTCATTCACACTCTGGAGTTAAACCAAGACAGTTTATGTTCTTCTAATAGTCTTTCATTAACACTCTGGAGTTAAACCAAGGCAGTTTATGCTCTTCTAATAGTCTTTCATTAACACTCTGGAGTTAAACCAAGGCAGTTTATGCTCTTCTAATAGTCTTTCATTAACACTCTGGAGTTAATCCAAGGCAGTTTATGCTCTTCTAATAGTCTTTCATTAACACTCTGGAGTTAGTCATGTACAGATGTTTACTTACAAACAAACATACCACTACCGGGATATCTTACATGATTTTGTAACAAATTACAACAACAGGCCACATAGATACTTAATGGAACTCCCCTTTTGGTATTAACGAAAAACAACTAAGTCCACCCGTGTAAAGAGTGAGTTTAGTTTTATGCCGCTTGTAGCAATATTCCAGCAATATCACGTCGAGGGACACCAAAAATGGGCTTCACACATTGTACCCATGTGGGGAATCGATCCCGAACCTTTATCCAAACAAGAAGACGCTTAACCATTAGGCTACCCCACCGCCCTTGTATAGGAAGAACTATATAATGATACACTGAAGAAATTTTGTGATCGACAGACTGAGAATACTTGATCAAGTGAGAATATCACACTTGAGGTACATCTTTCAAGGGACTATCAAGAAATATGAACTGAAAAAAACGTTCATTATCGAAACGATAATACAGAGATGGAATACAAGTTGATCTATTGAAAAATTTGGCCGACGACCCAATACAATTGCAAGGTAGCTTCCATGAAAATGAATGACATGGGTAGACTTGCCTGCTGACGGTTTGTAGAAAGTGGAGAAAATACCCAAGAATAGAAAGAGCGGGTCAAATGGAAGTCATTGTTAAATGGACGTGTCACCCTAAGACGTTAAACAGCTGGGTTCCAGAGGAATACTACCGATATTCGAAGCTACAATATCGGTGTGAGGCACATAATCACCCGCAAACAGAGTCAGCAAACAAGTCTGGACCAGACAAGCCAGTGATCAACAGCATGAGCACCGATCTGCGCAGTTGGGAACCGATGACATGTGTCAACCAAGCCAGCGAGCCTGACCACCCGATCCCGTTAGTAGCCTCTTACGACAAGCATGGGCTACTGATGATTCATTCTAACCCGGAATTCACGGGTCCTTAAACAGAGAAGCTATGTCTAAATGAAACAAAATTGTTATGAAATTTGTTTCAATTGTTCTTTTCTTTATTTATGTAACTAAACGTATTCTGAAAATATAACAGTAACATACAGTCTTATTCAGATGAAACAGAAAATTTAGGAAATGTTTTGATAACTGTCCGTCAGACTAAATAAAACTAAAGTTCGTGTTTAAAAAATGCGGAAAATCATCAAAATAACATGGATGTATTAATTTATCAAAACTACTTATATATTTTTTACACACGTTGAAATATTGGTTGCTCGGACCTTTTGTTAGTGAGTGAGTTTAGTTTTACGCCACACTCAGCAATATTCCAGCTATATGGCGGTTTGTTTGAACAAATATCTAAAAATCTAAATCTGTAAAAGTTGAGAAAACATTGAACAAAGAGCACGACAATCTTTTTTTGTCTAAAATATATAATCCACCTTTTTCCACCTTCACACTCTATAATATAAATCAGAAAAAATAAACTCCAAGGAAGTTTACGTCTGATCCAAATATTATTTGGTACAGTATAATTAGTCTCAAATATTACATTGTTACAAAACACTGCATTGTACACGCATCATGCATCAACAAAGAAAACAAACATACGTAGCAAATATGTTGAACTAATGTGAATAAAGAAGCTGACATAAATCCGTAATAGTCAGAGTCTTGAATAGACAAGGTTCCTTTTTAAGTTACCTGAAATAATGTGCTTATAGACTCTAAATTTGCAGTGAATAAACAAGTTGACATATATCCGGTATAGTCAGTGTCTGGATTAAATAGGCTCATCTTTAAGTTAACATAATTCGTTTGGGACTGTATACATCTTGAAAAGTTAGAGTCCGTATTAGACAGATTTCTTTCTGTGTCAAACTGAAGCAACCATGGGCGGTACATGTTTCGTAGTGACATATTGTTAGGATAAAATCAGTCGCTTGTGTGGGATTCTGGTCAGAGTTTTCTCAGGTAACTTTTCTCGATCTTGCCATCCTTGGTCTGTGTCTGGATAGAAAGAGATACAGAGAGTAGAGAGTACACCAGGTACACGCTGGTACACTTCACCAGGATGTATCTTAGCATTTTGGAAATGATGGAGTCTTTATTTCTAAACTGCTAAGGTGTTTCATGTACTGACTGATTAATTCACTCACCCACTGATATGCACTTTAACTTGCTTTAAAAGTGAAGATCTGGGTCAGAATTGGTCTCCATCAACCCCTGATTGTCAGAAGAGGCAACAATCGGGATCAGGGTTCAGGCTCGCTGATTTGCTTCATGCATGTCGTGTCCCAATTGCGTAGATCAATGCTCACGATGTTAATCACGGGATTGTCTGGTTCGGACAAGAAACTTTACAGACCGACGTGAGCTGTACTATTGCTAAGAGCGGCGTTAACAAGCAAACACTCCCTCACTCACTCACCGTAACGACGAAGTCCCCTTCTCGATACGTTTCTACGTCCAGTTCCTTGATCACACCGTCTTTGTTGACCGTCAGCTTCTCAACAAAGCGATCGTTCTGTAGTCTGATGACACTCTGTTAAAAAGAGAAATTCAATACATTTATTACAACGTACATAAAAAAAACCCACGTGACTGGCTTGGTTGTAGTGTTAGTCACATGCATGAGTTTCCCACCCTGAAACGACGAGTCGACAATGTTTTGAAGACGTCACACGCGCATACAGCACACATGTATACACGCACGCAAACACATACGCAAGCTCACACGCACACACACACGTGCAAGCATACGTACGCATAAGCAAACACATGCTTTCATACTTTCTGAGGTCAAAACTAGCAGTCCTAATCCTGTTGATGAAATATATTGTTATAATGTGACCGATTGAACTGTGCAGTTGAGCCTTTTACTCCTGAAACACTTACAACCTTCCAAACGTCCTTCAAAACGCCGATATTCCCCATTTTCCGGCGATATGCTCACCTCGAATACCGCTAAAACAATTAATGGAGTTATCTCCCTTACAGCAATGTTTAACTAAACACATTTTGTACCTTATTGACATATTTCACAGAACCAGAACGGCAGCTATCTATAAATGTATTGTTATAGATTAAGCAGTGGTCCCGTACCCTGTACATTGTCAGCACTGATACCACTAACATAGTCATGATGATGTCCGTATAACTGACTGACTGAGTTTGGTTTTACGCCGCTTTTAGCAATATTCCCGCAACAGCACGGCGGTGGACACCAGAAATGAGCCCCACACATTGTACCCATGTGGGGATTCGAACCCGGGTCTTCGGCGTGACGAGCCAACGCTTAACCACTAGGCTACCCCACCGCCCCGATGTCCGTATGAGCGCAACATACGAGGTGGTGGCTGTCCCATGCCGTGATGTTGCTGTAGCAGTGCTGACAGCGGCCTAAAACCACATGCACCCATCATGAAAACATCAAACAAAACAAGAAACATTCCCACCGTCAGTTTAGTGACCTTGTCTATACTCAGATAGTGGAAGGGAACTCCCATCGTGAACTTGACGTCCATAAACACTGTTCCATCTTCAAGATCGTTCTTCATGTGCCACACCTCGCCGTCACGTGACAAATACATGGTGTAGACCATGTCGCGAGTTGCCTCGCGTTCCGTGTCCGTCATACCTGGAGCAGCAAACCGAATATTGTATAGTTACTTTCAAAACTTAAGAGTCAGTACACGAAGATTGGTACACGGTCATGATGAGGTGTGTAGTCCGTCCATCATTTGTCAGTCCGACATCATCTCTGAACCGGATAAATGGAGGATCCTGAAGCTGTGGCATGATCCTTGGTATTACTCCCACAACCAAATTTTCACATCTCGGAGAAAACATGTACACAAGGTGTAAGGATCTAAGAAAATCAGTAAACACCTTATATTGACACAGAATTGTGCGCTTATGACTTGATGTTCACAGGCCGTTGTGGTATAGCGGGAGTAAAGTCTTACATTGACGTTACATGTATACAGGTGGGCGTTAAGTGGTTTTTTTTTGTTTCTTCATTTGGTTAGGGAAATATATGTACAGGTAACGTAGTCTGTAAGATCGCATCTCTGGATGCATCTACTTTTATCAAAGATGGAACTATCACATTTAATTCACACGGCTTATCAGGGGTCCATCCACAGCCTTGGGCCAGAAAGAGTGAGTGAGTATTGTTTTAAGCCACTTTTAGCAATACTCCAGCAATATAGGAGGGCACCAGAAATGGGCTTCACATATTGTATCCATGTGGGGAATCGGGTCTTCGGCGTGACGAGCGAATGCTTTAACCACTAGGCTACCCCAGCGCCCCCGGGACAGAAAGAAGAAAGTAATGTTAGCGATATCAGAATTTGAATATTTCGACTTAGGAGGAGCAGGAGAAGCCAGTGAGTTTGGTTTCACGCCGCTTTGATCAGTATTATAGGTACAGCACGACGTGTTAGCTTTACATGCATGGAGGAAGTAATGGAAGTGTTGGATGTTTACCACTTTGGTACTGACAAAACAAGGAATATAAACATGACAACCACCTATCATAGGTTTCGGGCGTGCCGGAGCTAACCCTTCAAAGCAAATAGCTTGTCCGACCTCTTCAAAGGGAATATCTTGTCCGACCTCTTCAAAGGGAATATCTTGTCCGACCTCTTCAAAGGGAATATCTTGTCCGACCTCTTCAAAGGGAATAGCTTGTCTGACCATACAACGCGAATTGCGGCGCCTTAGACGACTGTCCTCCCCACTCAAAAAAAAGGGTGGTGGTTAAAGTGTCACGCCGAAGTTCCAGGTTTGATTCCCCACATGGGTACAATGTATGAAACCCTATCTGGTGTCTCCCACCGTGATGTTGGACTATTGCTAAAAGCGGCGTAAAACTAAACTCAGTCACTCAAGAGGAGGTGCATCATTTGTTCCCTCCGCTGACACTAATTCAAAGTGTAAGTTCATGATCTGTTGCTGACACTTTGTAAGTTGGTGAGTGATAAGAATAGAGATAGAGAATCTCACCCGAGTGTCTTTTGATATCAAATATATCACCTCGAGTTGATAAAATTACATATATCCGAGGCTTGCCGAGCGTATTTTTACTTTTATCAACGAGTGTTGATATATTTGACATCAAAAGACACGAGGGTGAGATTCTATTTATCATCCAAAATCACTCTTCATTATAGTTTTCAATGAAATAATGTATAATGTATATACATCTCTGAGCACGGTACTGCCATAAGACCTGCAGTGCAACGATGTCATAGCATTGTGACGTCACCAAGTTCATGACGTCATAGCATTGTCTCGGCATTGTACAAAATCTACTGTCAAAACGATATCGAGATATCGAGATATCGTTTGATCTAACACAAGCAATATCTCCTGTGGAACACAGTTTTGTATGATAAAGTAAGATACTTAATGGATGACAACTTCTTTATTATATATGATGCGACGTTTCGTTACAGATTCTTATACCATTGTAGGGGCGGTGGGGTAGCCCAGTGGTTAAAGCGGTCGCTAGTCACGCCGAAGACCCGAGTTCAATTCCCCACATGGGTACAATGCGTGGAGCCCATTTCTGGTGTCCCCCACTGTGATATTGCTGGAATATTGCTAAAAGCGGCGTAAAACCAAACTCGCTCACTCACTTATTCCATTGTCAAGCAAGAATAAACTGTGACCGAAACGTCGCATCATATATAACAGAGAAGTGCACGTTGTGAATAATAAATTGCTGTACATGAACATGCAGATCTATCATAACATACATGATATCCTTAAAAAACTGGGGTAAACTTTGATCAGGTGCTGCCGAGTCTCTTCATTGCTTATACATCTTAATCACGTACCTAGGGCTATATGTAGTTTATCCAGCTATGTCAATATAAACACTGCTAGGTATTACACAGGGAGACATACACCCCGGGTCAACACGTGTGGGCTTCGCAAACTATGACTAAGTATTTCACAACACTGAGTCATCGTTGTCAGCTTTTTGATTACGCAATACTGGCCTAGAAATCGGGCAGGGCCGGAACGAAGGGTAATACTAAAATGGTTTATTGAACATTAAAAAGAAACGTGATTATCTTGGTGTATATCAACGTTGATTACTTGTTTAAGTGCCACACTTACCTAGTGCCGTAGCAAACTCATCATGGCCAGTGGTCCGTTCGGGCACCACTTTCCAGACTCCGATCAAGTTTGCCATCGTGAGAAGTTTTCGCGTGACACTGTCTACTGTGACAAGCTGTGTGGTCGTGTGGAGAAGTTGTATTAGACTGACTCCCGCTCGTGCCTGCAACCGGCTGAAGCAGGACAGTGACACCAAGCGGAGGCTCTGGACAACAATCTGAAGCTGTGTGTCACTAAGCTGGTTCCCGGCTCCCTTTCCGCGCGCCACCTTGCGGGTATTGCGATATGCCAGACAGGGCCCAGCTGGTGTTGTCTCGAGCGGCTTGGAGGTTAGCCTTGCTCCAAGGCTGTACTGAATGTAGCTATGCTTCAATTTAAGGCTCCACTGAATGCTGTGCCAAGGACCTCAGTCTGTTATTAATTATTTTTTTAGAAATGTTCATATAAACTATTTATTTTTACCTTAGAGACTTGTGCATGTCTATACTGAATGCTGAGCCCATGGATGTATAGTAAGTCTATCCTTCTAAGAGGCAAGTCTAGATAAGCGGACCGTACACGGACCCCAGTCTCTCATTTATTATTTTAAGGAAATTATCATTTAAACTATTACTTTTTAACTTGAAGACTTGTGCAAGTCTACTTGGGTGAATGGGCAACCAGAAAGGAGCTCACAAGAGATCCACATTCACCTCTAATTCATAATACATTATCGCTCAGGCTCCTCACAGGGTCACAGCTCCTCACCAGAGCGGGCGGCGACCAACTCTGCTCAGACGAGGTTCAGGTTACCGGTCACCATGACCGCGAACTAGCGCTTTCCTGATCACGTGACACTATGATAGCTCTATGTCATGTTGACCTCGAGGAAACAGTTTAATGTGAATCGCCTATGATATCTTTGGTGTTTATAATGAAGGCTTGCCGGGCTTTTCTCACCCCTTGTTCTATGTCCTTTTTTTCTCGTCTTCGCTGATAGCAGTACTTTTACGAGACTTGGACCGAATCTCTTGTTTCATTTTGTTATATTTTGTGAGTCCAGAGAGGATCAAACGAAACTCCTCCTCTGAGATCTTGTTGTCAGTGAGTGCGGTGGAAATATGGTCGTCTATGGTGTTCAGCTTTGCTTCAGCGAGGATTCTGATTTCATCGTGTTTCAATGCCTTACGATGCAATTTGCGTGATGCAAACTTAAGCACCAACAAACTTAAGCACCAACCCTAACACTCCTGCCACCCCAGCTATTATTTCAATGCCTAGAACTATAGGTGCGGCTACGATGGTGGCCAACAACGCAACACCTACCGCCCCTAGTCCCATGCTTGTTGTCATAAGGGCAGTATCAGCCCCGTCAACGATATTGAAAGCTCTATGGTATTTCTTATATAGTGCTTTCCGTGTGTCGCGGTCTTGTTCTAGTTGGTGTTTTACATCACATAATTGTTTCAGGCGGAACCCGTCTACAGTTTCCAGTGTCTTAGCTACTTCCTCTACGACTGGGTACAGTCCCATCCTATAATATATATTACAATAGATATTTTAATTGGGTGTCATTTAACCTTCGATTAATGTACTTAAAGCTGATAATACTTAGATTATCTTACGTGTAAAAAATCGTGGTCTCAGCTCCACTTCCATTTAGGACACGAACTCCATCAAGGCTTGCTAAAGGTCTGTTTCCCGATACCTTAATAATACGACAACGTTGTTTTTTATGCCTGTCTTCCCAACCTAACATAATATCATCTAAAAGGTGAATGAAACTCCTGGTCAAATGCCTCTCTCCGAGATAGACGTCTATGATGAATGTGAAGTTTTTCGCGACATCTCTAAAATCCTGTTGGTAATCGAGTAATTTGAGCTCCATCTTTACCTTCCCACTGTTTGAAGCTAACATGTTCGAGTGGCCCGGTATTCGTATGACTTGTGCACTAGAATCCGGAATGAACGACCCGAGAATGATGCCGTTGTTCCTAATCTCGGAGATAGTATTATTTTGTTTCAAGGAGATATAAGGATAGGTGAGGGTTAAGTTGACTAACCATTCAGGCTCTTTAAAATCTGATAACGACACCCGCCTATACACGTTGTCTTTCAAGTGTATGACGTACAAGGTGTCTTCCTCACCAGGTAGGTCAAACTCCTCCATGTCCCCATGGTCGTTAAGCGTGATGTTGGGACGATGACTAGTCATTATTATATTACTATTACGAGATAATTTCCTACTGTTTTTCTGATAATCTCTCAGGGGTGCACTTCAACCCCATGAGGTGTATGTTGTCTGGTAGGAAGATCTTGGTGAGTGATATCGTGTCTTTCACGGTCACAGCGACCCCCTGCAGACTGGTGTGGGAGTCGACACCCACCCGCACGTAAACAGTGCAAACTTGATACTGGTGTCGTTTCACCCACCGGAGTTTGATTCCCTTCACGACTTCGACTTCGTCCTGCGATAGTTCCCCTAGATAGACTTGGATGACCGGCGTGGAATTTGCAGGCAGACTTTCCAGGATTTTAACCACACCGGCGAATTCAGACACCAACTGCAATGACACGTCTTGCACTCCCGGTTGACTCGATAGCATGTGGGCAGTAGCACTCGAGACTGGACTGATGATTACACTGCGTCTCTGCGCTGGGACGTAAGCCACGAGCAGGGTTCCGTTGTTCACGACTTTGTTTAGGTAGTTGTCTTTGTTATCCGTAAACACGTAGGGGGAGCTGAGACTAATGTTGAGAAACCAGTTGAGTGGGCAACAACACCCACTTGTCGTCGTCGGTGAAGACGAGGGAATACTGCTTATTTTTGGTGATGGCCGTCACGTTGCTCTCAACATCTTCTAAGTCGAACAGTTTGCCACCGAACGATGGGTGTACCGCCCATCTATCATCACCGATGCGGACTAAGTCGAACCTAGTGTTGAGGGCCGCTCCTGAGGTCTCAACTATATCACTTAGGTTTCTAGTACCACCAATGATGGGGACTTCAACGCGTTTGTAAATGTTGTTTTTAAGCTGCAAGGCGTACAATTTACCATCTACTCCGGGGTCGTCGAATCCGAGAGTGTCCCCGAGGTCGGCGATCCCCACATTGACACATTTTTTCAATCATATTCCGGGACCTTGTGCGCTAGTCATTTTATGTGCAGCGTTATGCTGAGGTATCCTATATTAACAGGATTATGATTTATATCTAACACCGATATTATCAACTCGGGGATGGTGCCCCGAGTTAACCTCTTGTACTGCCGCGCTGAAAACGACTCGGTTCTACCGTCGTTGTATTTCTCCATTTTCACAGGTACGGCTCTCAGTATCGTGGATGGGTGGCCCCCTTTAATGTTGTCAGTCGTGCTGAGCTGACCGAGATGAATGCACAGCTCTCGGTATGGTACTAGGTCGGGTAACTTCGTGCCTGTGACGGTAGTTGTGGGTTTTATCTCATCCGGTGGTATACCGAGTGTCCTCGCCAGTGGTCGGCCAAGCCTCAAGGGGTTTATTCCGTTGTTGGTTAACACCACTGTGCCGTTTGAGTCATTTATCTTGAGTTCGGCTCCCAAGGGTTTGAAGACCTCATCGTAGTAGCCGTCGGTTATCTTGTTGCGGGCGCCACTAACGAACAGCTTGTTGTTGTTGGTGTTGATGTTTATCCATCTCGGGACGTAGGTGATATCGCAGAGTATGACTTCGAGTTGACCCGACGTGTTATCGATCGCGTACATCAGCTGAACAGACTCACCGCTCGTTATTCCCGGAAGTGTTATGTGCATGTTAGAGTATATATACCTAATCAGATATAAATGATAAATAGGCGTGGAAGGAAAGCCCAATAGTCAATGACCGTTACAACCGTGCATGCAGATATAAAGGATAAATCGGCGTCGAAGGAAAGCCCTATAAATATGGTCAATGACCGTCACAACCGTGGTTGCAGATATAAATGATAAATAGCCGTCGAAGGAAAGCGCAATAGTCAATGACCGTCACAACCATGGATGCAGATATAAATGATAAATAGGCGTCGAAGGAAAGCCCTATGGTCAATGACCGTCACAACCATGGATGCAGATATAAATGATAAATAGGCGTCGAAGGAAAGCCCTATGGTCAATGACCGTCACAACCATGGATGCAGATATAAATGATAAATAGGCGTCGAAGGAAAGCCCAATAGTCAATGACCGTCACAACCGTGGATGCAGATATAAATGATAAATAGGCGCTGAAGGAAAGCCCTATGGTCAATGACCGTTACAACTGTGGATGCTGATGTAAATGATAAATAGGCGCTGAAGGAAAGCCCTATAGTCAATGACCGTAACAACCGTAGATGCTGATGGAAATGATAAATAGGCGTCGAAGGAAAGCCCAATAGTCAATGGTCACAACCGTGGATGCAGATATAAATGATAAATAGGCGCTGAAGGAAAGCCCTATGGTCAATGACCGTTACAACTGTGGATGCTGATGTAAATGATAAATAGGCGTCGAAGGAAAGCCCTATAGTCAATGACCGTAACAACCGTAGATGCTGATGGAAATGATAAATAGGCGTCGAAGGAAAGCCCTATGGTCAATGGCTATGGTGCATGTTTGTTGTGTACAGGACATTAGGACGTTGGATACAACATTTATTTATTATTTGCTTACTCAACTTTTTGTCAACTTTTATCATTTTATTTTACGCACCGTTTATGTCACTACTTAGGGTCACAAGTTAGAGAATATAAATCGGAAAGTTAATGAAGGAAGGCTACATTACTCTCTAAACACCTTACAAGAGTCGCTTTTCTCTCGAATTTTAATTGCTTCTAATTGTGCACTCATGATCAGTCTCACGTGCAATGTAACAACTTTATTTCAAAGTCATTCACAGGTATCACGTTCAAGACGCGTAACATTATTGTACGAGTGTGGCGGATATATAATATTGTATTTTTACAGTCATGTACATATTAGTTTTAATATTATTAATTTTATGAATGTTAACAGTTACATTGCAGTTTCAGGGATATCATTTCATATTTGGATATTTATGGATATGTGTATATTAACAGTCACTTTGCATTGCAGGTATAATATTTCTTATTTATAGTAATGAATGTTTTTTATCAACAGGTCTGTTCATTTTGAAACTGACTATACTCATCTTAAAGCATGTCTATTAATAGCTATGTAGTCAGTGCTATTCTAGTTTAATTAAGGGTGGTTAGGTAGGGTCATTACATTATTATGTGCCCTCAGTTGATCCAATCTGATTGGATCATTCAAACTCTTGCCCTCTTTTACTAATTCAAATCTTCACTTCACTGTCAATGCTTGCACCGACAAGACGTTTATCCCGTGCTGGAATTTATCTACTTTATAAGATCACCACAGGTCAGTTTAATCTTTTATATCAATTAATCAGTGTGTATACCTTTAAATGTTATATTGTTAATGCTTATGTGTAAATATAAACTGTAACTTGTGTGTAAGTGTACAAGTTAGGTTAAGCTTGTTAGGGTAACTAAGCTAAATTGCAATCCAATAATCTTTTAGTATCCAAATAAATGATTCAGTTCATTAAAGTGTTTTCTCTCTCCTATGAGTGAATGGTTACATATTTGCACGTTTGACTGATTGATTTTATAAATGAGAGAAAGTATAGTGTGTATGTGAATGTAAATATGACTGCGATATAAGTTTGAACTGCTTATATTATATCCTAGGTTTTTGAAATGGTAGAATATATATATATATAGTTTAAGCTATTGCAGCTTTAACGTTGATCATTGTTTATACAGATTGTACGTACGCTTGACTGGCTTGGCGGCTTGACAGGGCTGTAATCTGCACCTTAGTGCCATACACCGGGTAGGCATTACATTGTGCTTGATTGTATGTATTTATGTAGCATTGTATATACATACTTTATATTTTCTATCTGGGGATGTTTATAGGATTTATATGCCTCTACCTTAACTATGTTTGTCATTAATATGTAATCAGTAAATCAAGGAGTGATCGCCCCTTGTAGTTTATTTGTCTAGAATGTGTGTCATTAGGCTTTCGAATGACGTCACGGGAATCCCCGGGTTGCCATGAGCGGGCATTACAAACTGCCAAAATGGGTTGAATAAGAAGCTGCAATCCTCCTAAAATGTACATAATTGCGACAAATAAACAACCAGTGTAGTCAATAAAAGCAATACTTAACAGATTCATACGGAAATCAGCACACCCAAGGGACCTCATGCATGTCAGTAACATCCAAATGCACAGCTCCCCAAACATGTCCTCACCCGACTTGGGTGTAATGGCTGCCGTTTGTGCTGAACGATTTTTCACGTCGGCTCTACTCATGATTGCAGGCGGAATTATTCTTAATATGTAAAAATAATCTTTTGGGATGAAAAAAAGGGAAAAAATATATTCTTGTTGAAAATGTAATTTTATGATCCGGTAGCTTCACATGCTTATATATGTAATTTTATTGCCTTTAGTCGACACGGTTAATTCTCAAAAATCATTGCAACTAACTTTGTGGACAATAAAGGCAGATGAAAAAATCCGGTGTAATAAATACTGATCATTGAATGAATCAGTCAATTTTTAAAACGTGTAAATAATAACGGCTTTAATAATTTATAAGCAATAAAAACCACCGGAAATGATGTGCCCGGTATTACTTTGCTGGGGTATATAATGGCGTGTCAGCACGGGTGGCACGAGAAGAATACACGCTCACCATGTGGACACCAGAGAATATTCAGCTGTTAATCAACAATCACCAGATACCCTGTAAGTAATGCATTTTATGTTATTTATTTTACATGTAGTACGTGCGTAAATGATTTTGGTCAAGTAATAATACATGTGTTTACAATGTACTGTTATGCCATTGTCGGGATAGGACCTTTTTCCCATTCAGGTCCCAAAGTTTTGCATTCGGTGTGTTTAATAAATTGATTTAAATTAACTGGGCCTTCTATTAATGAATTTATGCACTGAACTGACATGATTTTGAAATTATTTGGTTCGTATTAAGGCTTCATTCAACATTTTCGTTCACACTTCAAAAGTTGTCAATAAGTGGTCCCTTTCCAATGTTAATAATAACTTTTTGGGTTTTCCCCGTTTAATTTACAAAACAAATCACAGTTGGGAGACATTTCCAACTGAATGTACTAGCGCTATTGTCTATGATTTTAGTTTAGCTGCTTTTATGTCACCGTAACAGGCTCACAATAAATATGATTTTAGAAAACATAACATAAATGTCAATCAAATTCAATGGTCAAAATACCTTCATGACAAATTGTGTGTTTTAAATTTGTAGCATTAGTTTTAATGAGGCAATGTATTGAGTATTGCATGCTTTAGTATTGTGAATATTGGATTTGTTTTCAAGGTGAATGGGATTCCTCAAAATCTCTCAATTATGAGGAATTGAAGTGTTTTATAGAACACATTGAAAAAGGAGGTAAGGTGTTGGCCCGCACACTAACATCTGTGCTGATCCTCTTAAAACCAAAATGGGCTGGTGCCTTACCTCCAATAACCAACTTAAAAAGCAAGATTAAATCCAAAAAAAATCATCCCAAAGCAGTTGAATGGTTCACTGAACCACAAGATCCAGACATAATCGGAAATGTGTTTAGGCTGCAAGGAATTGGTTTTTCTCATCTCAACACATTTCATAAAATTCAAAACATAACATTAACTAATGAAATGGCTATGGAACTGCGCTATCATGCATCCAAACAATCCCTCACATATGACACTGTCCATAAATATATTAACCTTTTTAGACCTGAGGGGAATGAAATGTCACCACAACTTTGCTTGTATCACCTCAATAATGTGCACAAAATCAAAACTGAAAAATAAGAAATCATAAACAGGACATTGACTCCTTCAAGAATGCCCCGTTTGCATCGTCAGCTGCACCATCACAATTAAAAACAGATAATTCTTCCTCTGAAACGCAACTGCAACAAAAAAATGAATGTGTCACCGCTGAAATGAAACATTTAAAAGAACAATTCACTCTACTTCAACTTGACTTGGATGCTATTTCATCATCGGCTAATGAAATCTTAGAAGAAAACATTCAACAATCATCCACAATTAGCAGTCTCAAGAATAACCTGAACCAAATGAACCACCAATATCTGTCTTGCCAGGAAAAAATTAAAACATTGAATACCAGGCTTTGTAATAAAGAAAGCGAAATGAAATCTTTGAATCCTAAAAACCTCCAAAGAACGCTGAAAAGGAAGGAAGAACAAATAAATCAGCTGCTCCTTCAATTAAAACATGTCATTGCGGAAAAAACAGCTTTAAAAATGGCTTTAAACAAAGAAGAAGCTAGTAACATTTCCCTCCAAAAAAACCAACAGGATGAAATTGTCTGTCTTAAAAAGAAAGTCAAGAAATTTGAACACAGTTGTGCTTTTAAGAATGAAACTATCTGCAATCTTCGCCATGAAGTTAATTCGGCACAACAAACAAACAAAATTTTGGAAATAAAAATGAAAGAACAACAAAAAACAATTACCCAGCTGATCAATGAAGTCGATAGTGCGCTCAGGGAGACCTACAGTCTCAATTTCATCAATGAAGGCATCTATAGTGATAATTTAAGAGCAGTTATCATGCACCTTGGAGCAAATGGTGTCAGCTCACACCACATGGCTGATACAATTAAAACAGTTCTTGAAGGCCTGGCCAAAATAAATGCCCCTAAACTCCCTTGTCATGCAACAATTTGCAATATTCTTCAAGAAGCAAACCTTGTTGGTAAAATGCATGTTGCTGATGTGTTGCTGGAGCATCCAAATAGTTGTCTCCATGTTGATGGCACGACTGACCACCAGCGTCATTTCTATGGGTACCAAGTGTCTACAACTTCCCTGCCCAGCATGTCCATGTGCATGGTAGAAACTGTATGTGGTGACACAACAACACAAATTAACCAGCTGTGTACAGTTCTGGAGGATTTTGCTAAACTTCTATCCTCCAAGAATGAAGATTCTCAAGAATTATATGACAATATGTTGGTCAATTTAAAAAATATCATGACGGACCAACATATTGTCAATAAGGTGTTCAAAACCAAATTGGAGGAATTACAATGCAGCGTGTTGTCCAAACCCGAAGATATCTGGAGCAAACTAAATGAAACTGAAAAAGCGCTCAAACCGTAAATGTCAACCAGTGGTTTTGTCACCTACAAGTGCTATTGGGTCTGGCAAATTCAACATCTCTTGCCATTTCTCAATATGAGAATATCATTACCGATAAGGGAAATTTGAACACCCTAAAAAGATCTGTCAGCGGTGACAAGAAACTTGAATTTAGCCGTGTTGAGGACGTAATCAGATCCGTTTCCAGCCTTGTTACTACTCTAGGCCATCCTGCTGCTGGACTCTCTGCCGACTTCACCTCATTCATGAAATCCATAAACCAACATATCCATTTCAAACAATTCCAACATAATCGTTTCAACATCATCTTCCATAATGCTGCAGCAACAATACACCACAAACACCACCTCCAGCAGTTCCTGGCCAGCATCACACATGAAAATAAACTCATTAAAGCTGTAAAAGAAGATCTATCTAATGACATCCTCCTCTCTGAAGTTCTGGCTCTTGCTCTTTTCCATGTGCATATCTCTCACCCATTTTACAGTTTAATTTTAAGTCAAAACACAGCAAATCACATCCTGGATCTTAATACATTCTTTGTTCATCTTCAACAAATATCGTCAAATCCATCAATGATACTTCAGCCGGATTTCATCATGTGGCCATCTTTCAAAGTAACAGATCAGTCTTTTCTATTGGCATCTGCAGCAAATCATCCCTACATTGACCTCACCTTGGAATGTCTGGGACTAATGGCAACTTATTGTCTCATTGATTTTACTCGTCTTGTTGGTAATCAATTGCCATCAGGATGTCATGCAGATGATAGTACTCAACTCAGAACTGAGTCATCATCTGTACCAAAATCAAACAGTATTGGAGAAAGTCAGTTTGCCTTTCTCAAACATCTCCGTCGATTTAAACACAATGCGAGCACTCCCCACCTGGAAGCCAACATCCTCTGGGCGTACAACAAGCCATACGCTTGGTTGCAGTCTCTGTCTCCTGAAGATCGCCACCTCAAGCTGGAACAAGCCCGCCTGCAAATGAAGGAATTTAAGGTTATCTGGCAGCAACGTCGCCAGAACCTTCATAAGCAGAGGTTGGAAAGACTTCAAAAGAAGAAAGAAGCGGAGACAGAACGAGACCATCGTAATGCAGTCAAGCGCTTGGAAGCCACACAGTCGGTCGCCACTCAAGGAGGCCACTGTAGTACACCAGAGGATGTGGATAATGCTCTCATTGGGAAAACTGAAAAACAACAAGTTGCCTGTCTCTCATCACAGATCATCTTCTACAGAGATGTTGTCAAACCAAAAGGAGTCCCAAGAAAGACGTATTTCTTGTCTGAAAAAAAATTCCTTTTGATGCTGCCAGTCTCAAACTGAAATTGAAAAATATTCTCGAAGTCCACAATCTAAATAGCCAGTCGGTACCATTATCGTCGTCTGCTGTTGTTGTGTCACCACAGACTCGCAAACGTAACATAAATGTTACTAAGCGATCGATTCTCAGCACCTTTGACAAGTGTAATAAAGTTGAAGGTGCGAACAAGAGAATCAAAATAATATCAGAAATGCCAAATCCTGTTGGTAGAAAAGTACGCCACAGGTTTAAGTCCATTTCTGGTAAAAGTTACAAGTGGTACAGAGGTACTGTACTTCAGGCCAGTGCTCCAGGTACAATGCCATCCTATGCAGATGATGATGAGTCTGATGCAAGGAAATACATGCTCTTTGACATTAAATACGATGGGTACGAAGACATCAGCTCCATTCGTATGGAAAAGGACTGGCACCAGGGAGATGTGGTGTTTGATTCACAATAGGTAACACTCTAATGTCATTGTTGCACCTTGTCACATCCTCCTGTTGTGTGGTGTTGGTCAGACAAAGCAGAGTGTTTGCAATGGTTTTTATTCCCCCTACTCCACTGATGTTATCATTTCACATATGTTATGTTGATGAATTTTTAATTTTTTGGTGAAGGACATTATGTTGCTTACTATACATGTTCACCCTAATATGTTGGATGATTTAATATATACATTTTATGATTGTTTTCAATTTTCATATGCCCACACAATAGCACATCTCTTATTGCTTCTTCATCTGTTAATTGAACAATTATGTAATGTGGTATATAAAAAAATTATGTATGTCACGTTTTAATTGTTCAACCTAATCATCGTCGTGTTATTTGCAAAACGTTGATGTAGAAAGTTATGTAGAAAGAGCCTTTCAAACCTTATTAAGATTCATGTTGATGTATTTATTGATACCCTGACATTATTTCATGCAGTGCTATAACCAGCCTTTGCTTTCCCTTGCAGCTATATTGTAACCTTGAGAAATTTTAAAAAAGGTGAGTGTAAATCATTTATTAATAATATTTATTATTCTTAAGTTGTAGTATTGAATATTACTAGTAACATCTTTGCTTTTGAATTATTTTTAGTATTTTGTTTTGGGTTTCAGATCCAGTATCTTGTACCTTTTTCAAATCAGCACAAGCCAGTCAAGGTAAAAATAGGAAGAATATCTGTTACTAAATTTTCATAGGAAATTTCTTATATTTATTTACAACAATGAGTTCATTCCAAAGTTATTCCACTGACATCATCAGATATCTAGAATCCCATCCAGTCCAGAAACCCCCGCAGGAATGGTGTCACCACTTTCCGTTATTGCTATCTGACAGCAAGGGTTTCCGGTTGGATAGGATCCAGGATGCTGATGGTGTTCCAGTGGAATATTTGTGCAAGGCTGGGGGCAGAACAGTGGCATTGTTTCAGCTGTTACGTAGGGAGCTGCCAAAGCTCCTACACAAGCACGGCAAATATGCCACTATATATGTATGGAGTGGCACATGCGATATTACCAAAAAAATTGGACAGACCAAAATGATTGGCATACGTACTCCAGGCACTTCAGTTCCCGAGGAAGTGATAAGTACTTTCAAGGACATGTGCAGATATGCCTTCAGCCAGGGCTGCCACATTAAGTTTATCGGTGTTCCATACTATTCTGTCATGGAGTACAATAGGTACAAGGGATGTTCCGTGCCAGGTAGCTATGAAGATCATGATAGGGAGGTGGTAAAACAGGTCAATGCAATAAATGAGGGAATCACATTGCTTAACACGCAATTCAACAAAAAATACATTGCAGTTTAATGCTGACTTGCTTAAAACCAGAGGCGCACGCCGTAATAGAAGGGCAAGTCGGCATTTAACTGGGCCACGTGGTCGACAGAAGATCATGTGGCACCTTCTGTATGATGGATTACATTCAGGTGAACTCCTGTCACAGCAGTGGTTGAGGCGGCTTCACCTGGATGTAATCGAGGAGTGCTACAGAGACCCACGGCAGTTACTTGTCAGTGTAGAACACCAGGATGAGCTACAGATATCCTGAAATGAAGTGTTCCCCTCATTAAGACTTAACACCTCCAAATGACACCAACAGTTGAATGCTGTGACCACTCCATACATATATAGGAATCTGTTCTGCCCACAATCCTTACTTTACTGCTATGTGTAGGCGATAAGGGGGGTGGGGATTCATGGAGGTAGTTCTTGAATATTACTTTATAGCTAGCAAATACCACTTTTCCTGGTGCCATGTTATATTTGAAAATAGTCAATTGTGATAAGGGTGTTCAAAGCGAAGCCCGATCACTGAAGAATTAGGCCTGACATGTACCCTTCATAATGTCAACTGTGTTTGTTAATGTGGAACCTTTCTGGACTGTTGTGATAAGGGTGTTCAAGGCGAACCCCGATCACTTTATCATCTTGCTGACAAATCACCTGGATCTTTCTCACCTTCAACAAATCATTGAAAATGTACATATATCACACATGCAATACTCCTCTGGATTGGTGATAAGGGTGTTCAAGGCGAACCCCGATCACTTTATCCTCCTGACATATCCTTTTCCTCATGCTCGTCTTAACCAATTCCTTTCAGTTTATATGTAAAATATGATATCCTCCTTTGGCTTGTTATAAGGGTGTTTACGACCAACCCCGATCCCTATGATTTGGCAATTCTTAAATGGTTCTTGATCATCTTCTAAAACTTTTGAAATGTATGTAAGAAATTGTTGGTAACTCCTTTGGAGTGTCTTGACCCCGACCACTATAATTTGGCTATTTTTACCTGGATCTTGCTCATCTGTACAATGGCTGTTCAATGTATATAGAAAGTGTTAAATACTGCTTTGGGATGTTGTGATAAGGGTGTTCAAAGCGAACCCCGATCACTATCATATTGGTATTTTAAATGATCTTGCTCACCTTCACCATATATTATCAGTTTATATGTGTAACCTGGATATCTATAGAATTTGTGTGGAAAAAGTTGTCACACCAGTTTGTACATATATTCATACATAAATTATGTGATTATACCAAATCTGTATGTGTAAGGTATTTGAAAGTTATATAATACCTTTTGAGAGGTAGGTAATTGTGACCAATTATCTTAGCCCTTGAACTGTGGCGTTGAAGTTATCCACAGCATAATGTTTCATGTGAAGTTTTTCATTTTGGGAGTGGCATTTAACTGCATGGTTGTTGAGTAGGAGATCATAGAAAGTCAGGGATGTTTTAAATGGTGAAGCATATACATGTTTTCTAGGGACAAAGTGTTAATGATGACAGTTTGAGAAGAGAGGAATATGCGTTTACCATGGCAAGAACAGTAATAAAATGACAATACATGTATTGTGATGTATGGGAAGTGTACCATCACAACATATACTGTGGTTGCAAATATAGACATACAAAACATTCATCCACAATTATCATACAGTAAGTTTGTACCCCTGACTGAAGACTACTTGCGTTTGTCTCTTCCCCTGCTGATTAGTATTAAATATTATGGTATACATATGTTTCCAATATGATTGTTATAAATAATGAAATGTATGCAAATACATCTGCCATCTTGGTATGGTCCACATGTTGAGTGTGATTTATTTCATCACTGATGTCAGTGGTAACATGAAATACAGACTGATTATTAAGAAATATATTTATATGAATGTACATGCTGTTTAAATACTTAATGTATGTAAAGAATGGAATTTTGTGGAGCGCAATATCATGCTGAAGCTTTGGGTTTGGACCCCGGTGGAGGCACCTAGGTTCAGGTCCCGAGGTGGGCACAATTGCGTAGTATCGTTGGACAAGATACTTAGTTCCACATTGTCTCAGTTCATTCAGCTGTAAAATTGGTACCCGTGAGGGTGTGCTGGCAATGTCAGCAATTAGTTCATTGTGGTTATCAGGCAGCATGTATGTATGGTCCTCGTTGAGTTTCAAACGTATGAGAAAGTATGATGGTGTCATGAGTATGACGAGGGATAGTAATGCATGCAGCGCTGTGAACAGGGAATCTGCCTGGATATGAGCAGCTTATAATTGTAATACTATGGCAGTTTGCTGACTAAACTCTTATTGTTATATCAGAAAACTTACCATCATAACAACATTTCCTTTGAATGATGAGTGAATATTAAATTTCAGATTTAAAAGAGCATAAATCCACTTGAAACTGATTGCCATTTGTAAATTATATGGCAATGTTCTCTCAATAAACTGTACACATGTACAAAATATATAAAATATGAAATGAATCTAGCATTTCTCCTAAAATGTTATCCCTTGAATTGTACATAGTAAACAGTCTTGGTATATTCCTTAATGACTTTCAAACTATTCTGAAACACAAAAATACACGTCCCATTATAATTAACAACATTGGTACATGTATACATCTTAACATTTGCACATTTAGTGTTGACATTTTGCACTTTGTGTTCACTGGTTTGGTGAGAGGTTGCACAAATTCATTGGCCATGGACATTTAAGTGTTTTGAAATGTGATATTTTTTTTCTATGACAGCATATGTAAAAGTCTTTTAAAGTTCTCAGTAACTACTTACTTTTTCAAACAAATACTTTTTCATTCATTTGGGGTACAGAAGTAATATCCACATGTAAAATCAGTTGTCAAGAAAGAAAGGGGATGTAACTCTAAATCCTATTCTTCTGAGGTTAGTGTGTAATAATGACCAGGTAATTCATTAATAGTTGTCAGCAAATATCATTTATATTTGTAGCAGACGACCCTGAGCTCCTTACAGTGATGGACCACTGACATGTTTGGACAGAATTAGGGTGTTTTTTTTCTTTGCTAAAACAATGCTTTTATGACAGTCAGGCTCATTTATTTTGATTGGGAGGTGTGATAACTTACAAGTGACAATATACATTGGATGAATTATGAAATATATTATGATTTTGTCTTTTTGCAGGTGAGTACATAAGGCCACTATAACAGACCGATGCAAGAGTTACCTCCCTTCCGTTCAGTTTAACAGTAAATTCTCAACACTTAAGTACTCTTTTTCTCACAATGCGTGTATGTGATGATTTTTTTTTCAATAAAATCTTTTTTCAACAGTATATCTTTCACTGGCTTTGTTGTTATTTCACTGGAGGCAATAGTTTAAAACAGACTAGGATCCCTAGTGTCATAATAGTATTTCATCTCAAGGATGTAATGACGGATTTTAAATCTTATGTATATATTATGACTTTATATTTATTGAACCATGTATTGTTTCAGGGTGTTGTTAATATTGGAATAAAAGGTCTCACCCCCGTAACCAGTGTCCTGGATAATTTTGTTGACATCCGCTCACTATCCCGGTTACAAAATGGAGCCCCCAGTGAGGACTAACATTCCATAGGACAGTACAGCCAAGCGGGTACAGTCAGCAGAGCCAGCCAGTCAACAGATTCCACGCCAGGTGATCATTGTTCCATACAGATCAATGTGAGGACTATTCTAGCACACCTAGATTGTATGGTGCCTGTGAATTGTGTGTATTTTCTAGAGACTTTCTCATATCATCAACACTGACATATTGTACTGTGGTATCACATTGTATTGGTCATTCCTTGCTGCAGCTATTTTTTTGTTTACTTTCACATTACCGGCTTATGTATGTAATATTTACGTTGGTACCAACACTTAGTTATTAGATAGTTTCTAGTATATTAGATTGAACTTTAGATTTAATTTGATTTCCTGTTCCTACCCAAGCCAAGCAATAAAGATGTAATTAATTTGGTTATTTAGTTGTTACTTGACATCATACTGTGTTTGTGTTTGATAATTTCCTTTATAGTTATTTTGCGTCTATGTTAGTCACATTGTTTCTTAGTGAGGTTGTGTGTGAGTATGTGATGTAGTTTGAATCCTGTTTACACCATAAAGGTATACCTTGTACTTTTTACATATCATAAATTGTCTAAATAAACATTAAAATAAAACACACCTTTATATATATATACATAACTATACTGCCAAACTATATTAGTGTTAAGCATAGTACATAACAGGTAAACCATGTATACATTCATATAGCCAACACATTAGTTGACAATTGACTGCTGCACCACTGCACTGCCCTTTCACTTGTATGTTAATACTTAATCCCTTCTTGTATCACTTTGGGCAGTATGTGTTAGTTGGTGATATGTTGGGGTAGTACTCGGTTCAGTATATACTGTGATGTTTAGGTCAGTTGAACTTAGTTTCTAATTGTAGTGACATATAGTTATTGTGTTCATTTATTAGTTTAGTTCACACTTAGTTTCCAGGAGTCAACTTTGGTGTTTTGAAATTGCTGCTTCCAGCCTGCTGCCCGAGACACACATCAAGTTTGTTTGAAGACAACTTGTTGCCTTCCAGGTATTACGCAAAACATTAATGCTTCTTGTTTTCTTTCAGCTTCTCGACTTGCCGACAGGCGTTTACTCCTGATTCCCTTCTTGTCGCTTTCGTGTTAGTATTTAGTTAGTTGGTTACTGGTAGTTAGCTATTACTGAATCCCATTTGTAACCCTTGTGCATTGCATACACTCAATACTTTATTACCGCAGACGGTTCCACACTGTGGATGTCGTTTATCTCCCTCTGAATGCGCTAAGTATCATTTGGATTACCCTTTCGCATTTGGTTTAGTAACCGTGTGTTACTTTGGGTAGTTTCTTCTTTCCTTCTTTCTGAAAGCCTTATCCGAAATAGTACAGCCACGTTTCTTATCTTGAACCATGGAACTAAATCAAGAAGAACTTAAGAACATGCTTACCATATTTGAGAAGATAGGAATGGCACCAAAGATTGATAGCACGTCAGATTTCAAAACTTGGCTCAGTGACATGTCCAAACAAGAAGGTTCATTCCAGGGACCCGACGTCAAGCCACCACCTCCATTAACATCAGCCAAGGAAGAACAGACGCCAACTGCTTCATTTCATTATTTCCCGAAGATACCCTTCTTCAGTGGAGAAGTAGGTAAAGACACTCCCTATGACTTATGGCACTTTGAAGTTGATTGTCTACTGCAATCTAAGACCTACCCGCACGATGTCATTCTGCAAGCTATTAGGAAATCTTTGAAAGGTGAAGCTGCTCTCATAGCCATGAAACTCGGACGGAATGCTACAGTTCAAATCCTGCTAACCAAGATGAAGAGTGCCTTTGGAACCCTAAGGAGGTGAGCTACTCTCATGTCTGATTTCTATAGTTGTTCACAAAGGGAGGATGAAGATGTCACTGCGTGGGGTTGTAGGCTTGAGAATATGTTATACCAGATAACAGAGCACCGGTCTATTCCAGAGGATGAACAGGATGAGATGCTAAGGACTCGTATGTGGGATGGCCTCAAGCCTGGATTGAAGGGTGTAGCCGCTCACAAGTTTGATGCCATCACCAACTTTGATGATCTACGACTTTGCTTGAGGGAGATAGAATTTGATTTAAGGAGAGACAAGTCCGCAGTACCTGTGAAGAAGCAGTCAGCCTCAGCTAAGATGGTCAATACCTTGAATCCATCTAGTGCTGCTGCCACTAAGGAGGAAGTCACAGATCTCAAAGCTATGATGGAGGAGATCCGAAGGGAGATATCTGAATTGAAGGAACAGAGTCAGGTTCAGGCACAAGTTAATCAACAGCAAATTTACAACAGCCCATACAGTACTCAAAGATCTCACGATAAGCGCGACAGACATCCTGGAGACGTTTCCAAGCCACAAGTGGAAGATGCTTATCCCAGACACCCTCTACCAGCACAGGACAAATATTTCCCACATCAGTCTGCGTTTGGACCTAGGCCATTTGCAGAGGATCAATAACAGTTAAGACGAGATGTCACTGATGTACCTGGGTCATTACCGGGTTCATACTCAAACAGTTACACACAAAGGCAGGGACACGGACCACCTCGATGTTATCAGTAAGGAATTCCAGCTGTAATACAATTTATCCAAGGCATTCATTCCTGGTATTGGAATAGGATATTATAGACGTCTATGGTATTCCCCTTACTTGAAGTTGACTATCACAGATAAAGTCTTTAAATGTATGTAACTTGGACAAGGCTTGTTTCTTGAGTAATCAGCTTTTTATACCAATACACATATCTTTGGCATTATCCCTGTTGACATAGGACACGCTGTCCTTACAAACCAGTCTCCATACTGGTAGAGAAGCCCCTGCTGACTACGTAGTAGCTGCACGCTGCTGATGACGTAGCAGAGTCACACTGCTTCCCACTCAGCAGTTACCTGATAGTCGGAAAAGTCACCATTTCATGTATACATGCGAGCGAGTGAGTGAGTGAGTTTAGTTTTAAGCCACTGTCAGCAATATCCCAGCAATATCACGGCGGGGACACCAGAAGTGGGCTTCACACATTGTTTCCATGTGGAGAATCGAACCCGGGTCTTCGGCGTGACGAGCGAACGCTTTAACCACTAGGCTACCCAACCGCCCCAATACATGTATCACTACAATGTATACGTCCGCTCGTTTAGGCCGGCACAGCTTACAGCTATTCTTCTTAAGTTCTAAATATCCCAGGGGCGGTGGGGTAGCCTAGTGGTTAAAGCATTGGCTCGTCACGCCATAGACCAGGGTTCGAATCCCCACATAGGTACAATGTGTCAAGCCCATTTCTGGTGTCCCCCGCAATGATGTTGCTGGAATATTGCTAAAAGCGGCGTAAAACCAAACTCAGTCAGTCTAAATATCCCAACAGACAGAGTGTTAACTTCTGCTGTTGGCTTGGGTTTACTACTTTAAGACATGATTTAACATAATTCTTTCTCTACGGCTTGTTGAATTTGTACTCAGACTAACATTAAGCATAACAGTACCACCAGCGGCTTCCCTCACAGTGTACATAATCTGATGTGTGCTCTTTCTATCCTTTCAGAATCAAGTCCAACACTACTGATTATAGTGACTTGCTGCACCGTCCTCGTCGTAGTTCTCACCATCATGGTTGTCATGTTCTTCGTGATTTACAAGAAAGTAAACGGTAGAGAAACACACTTTTCAATATTTCGAGTTTGAGTTTAGAAGAGAGTGTATACATGTGCACGTTAGAACCAACAACACAGAATGGTGCTCCAGAGTTCATTAAACACTAACATACACTTTACACTACAAGCGATCTAACAAAATTTAACCAACCAAACCACCCCATAGTCTCTCCGCCCCCATCTTTCGCTCAAACACTAAATGGCTTGGCTGGCCCGTGTGCATTATGTCCACAAGCGCAGGTTAAATCTCCAAATCATAATCATCAGCAGCATACTCCGAACCGTTGTGTACCTCATAATAAAGAAGCTGACATCCATAAAACTCTCTCCATTATGTGTATTACGTCTATGTGCCATTCAAAGACCTGTTTCGGTAACCGCTCAAATAGTGTCACTCCAACGAGCGAAATGCCTAATTCCAATAAAAGCCATTATATTTTGAATTTAATGATAATTGGGAAACAGCAGAATTCAATGTACTGCAGGCTAACGATACCGGTTAAGGCACGTGTTTGTGTCCCGTATATGTGTACCGTATCACAGCAAAAATAACTTGGTTTCCGCAATGCCTAATTCCAATAAAAGTCATTATACAACTGTATTTTGAATTTAATGAGAATTGGGAAACAGCAGATTTCAATGTACTGCAGGCTAATGATATCGGTTAAGGCAAGTGTTTGTTTGTCGTATTCATACAGTTCCTGTATATGTGTACCGTATGTGTGTTATGTTTGTTTAATCTGAAGAATTGCCTAAGAGCCTTCATAATTCTGAAACGCCGAATTTGCTTTTCAGATTTGGGAAACACACGGTAAATTTAACTGAGCAATATATTTTCAATAACATTCAATTGCCTATTCCGAAATGTTACTTAGGTGTAGGAAGAAGATCCACCTGTGGTTATATTTCTTTTTTAGAATACTTTAGAACTAAAGGTTTTGTTTTAACATTATCTAATTGTTTTCCGAATGCATGCCATTGTCATTTTGTAAATCTACACTAAGTTAAATTTGGGAGATACTATCGTCCTCGCCCTACGTTCGCTTTGCGACACGGTAATGTTAGAATGGCTACAGGTTCCGCCTGCCGTCCACATCATACAGAAGACGGAGAAACACAATAGCATATGCCACACAGAAGGTAAAAATACAGGTTACCTGGAACTTGAAGACTTGTCATGTAGGTTTAGCGCTGCTACAGAATATAGACTTCTTTCAGAAGCCTTTAAGCAACACCCGATGGGCGTTCCATTTCACCCTGTCCGTAAAAGTACA